TCTGTTCCTTTTGCTGTTTCCATCTCCTTCTTGACTTGAAAGAGTGGGCATGGGAAGACTAGATGAATTTCTAAAACAAGCTTTTCTCACATCATAATTAGAGAAAACTTCAGAAGTTCAAGGGAATTCAGTTGGAAGGCGTTTGACATAATAGAATCCACAACTTTAATTTAAGAATGTAACTCCAAAATATTAAGAGTAATTATTTTAATTTAAATGAAAACAGAGTGATATCAAATACTCAATGAGAATAAATTAATTTTATCTACCTGGAGTACAAATCATTCTTACTAAGATAGCTCCATACACAGACGCAAACTTCAACTTTTGGTTGCCATACTGAATAGTTCTGTTGTTCACGCTCATTCATCATGAAGGCACTTCTTTTTCCTTTTTTAAACTCTAAGTTCGACATAAATACTGGAAAATAAAGCAGGTAGAATGTGAAATTTGCAGCCTTTTAGTGAAATATAATGTATAACTTCATAGCCTATAATTAGTTTAATTTACAAATTTGTATTATTATTTACTAATCACAGTTTAACTACTTTCCCGTAGGAATTTAAGAAATAGCATGCAAAATGTAAAGTTTTAGTTTTGCACTAACTGAAAGCAAAATGCATTAATTTGATGAAAAATGGTTAAATAATTTTAGTTTTAATTATAGTGTTTTTTGGTTGTTTTTTTTTTTTTTTTTTTTTTTTTAATAAGGTACCAGTATTTTTTGCAAATTAAACAGGACATTCTTACTGGAAGGTAAGACATTTTTGTTGTGTTAAACATTAAATGCAACTTTGGTTGATAAAAAGTTAATGGTGGGGGATTTTACCTGGAGAAAAAAAAAAAAAAAAAAAATTACTGTTTATGCAAGTAGAAGTGTTTATAATAATTATCTGTCCAATTTGTTCATAGACTATGAAAGATTAGGCTTTTCAAAATAACCAAATTTCATATGAAATATGTAATTTTATTTGTTTCTCATTTTAAAACCAAAACAAAACAGATTGCCCTGTCCTTATAATACTGCTGCTCTTCTGGCTTCCTATGCTGTTCAATGTAAGTATAATTAGTATTCATGTACATATTAGTACTGAAATATATGAAAAGCAGTATTGATTAGTTTTTAAAGAATGTAGTTTGTATAGCACTATATTGTGATGTTTGTGGACATGATGCTGCTTTTCTCATGATTAAGGAAATATGGTTGGTTGGTTTTTCACCCCAGCATGTTTTGCTGAATTAGATATGGAAAAAATACTGGTAACGCTCTCTGCTTTCCTACTTTAAACCCATGCAGTTAGAAAACCCCAAAACAACCTTCTTGTATTTCTCTGTGTTCTGAAGTGTGGGGTTGTTTTTTTTTCTTGAGAATGATACTAAAGCATTTTTTAGACACTTAACCATTTTTAACATACCATACAGTGAACCTCCACATAGGTGTGGAGAAGGGAAATCTGGTCATATCTGGCCAAAAAGTTAAATACCCGTGTTGTCAATTTTAAGCCATCCAGTGAGTAGATAAGTCTTGAAGACTGTGATTTAGTTCTCTTCCTTTCTCCCTATTTTTCTTCGTAAACTTAAATTGTTCGGTGGAAAAAAATCCCCACAGCAACCAACCAAGAGACTCTTCAGCACTTAGTTCTTGAAATTTGTGGTTGTCAGAAATTCAGTTTTATAAGCAATCCTGATATATCCATCTGTATTAATGTGTTTTTATGCTATTAGATACTTATATCTACATTTATTACTATGTATACTTTGTACATATCAGAGAAGTAATGTCCATGTTAATCTTTTCAGGGAAAAAACATAGAATAATGTTAACGAAATGTTTTATGCATGCTTCTGATAAGTGGTCACCTTTTTCTAGATCAATCAATAGAGCAATTTCTCTTAAACAAAACTCCTAAACTCCAGCTACTTGGAAATAGATATGTACTGCAAGTGCTGTCATGCATTAGGGATTTGCCTTAGAAGAGATGAAGTATTTGATGATGAAGCAGGCACTATGAAAAGTTTATAACATTTTAAGCTTTTAAGAATGCATTGTGTTTATTTTTCAAATATTGTGGAAGTGGTGGGTATGCACAGTGCATTGTAGTTACATTTGTATGTGAGATCCCGCTGCCCTTAAGTTCTTCATCTGTCTAATGATTTTCTGTGCATGCCTATCACTAAACTCTCTCTGGGTTTAGCTCTTGGGATTCTTTATAAATATAGGTAAATAGCAGATATAGATCTCACAGTCCTGTATTCTCTGTAGTGGATTTTAGCAAGGCATGCACTCTGTTACGAAACCTGGTCCCATTTTCCAATTTTTAACTTATTTAAAGTAGGATCTGTTTCTGGCAATGCAAGTGCCCCAGACTTCTTTCCTACCTTCCCTTCCCTTGCTTATCCTGCTGCTCCACGAGTGCCTTCATCCCTCTTGTCAGTTCTTCCATAAAAATGTCAGTAGGCCTGCCCAAGACCCCATGTCATGCTGTGTTGCTGTGAACCTTCCAGTTTTTACATGTCATGTTACTTATTTATCACTGTAGATCTGTTATATCGATTGCAGATATTTAAAGCTGAATGTTTTTGGATTATATTTAGAAAGCCTCAAAGCCTGTATTTCTAGCAAGTGTTGTTGTTTGTATGTTTTTTATTCTGACAATAAATGTGATTTTAATTTATTTCTTATAATTCTAAGAAGGTGTTAGAAATTTTGTAAATGCACTTTTTAGTAGTTTCAGGTAAAATAGTTTCAATGTAGGTGTATGTATGCGTACTTTTTTCCATACATACAATTGAATGTGCAAAAAAATATTTTTCTGATGCTTCTGAATATATCTTGGTAGAGAATGAGTTGGTGGTTTTTGCAGATCTTAAGAAATAGCAGTTGTAGTGTTAAAATATATATATAGTGTAATCACATGAAAGCAAGCAAAGGTAAAAGAAAAAAATCAAATAGCTTGAAGTATATTATTTAGTGCTAGCCATTATGACAGCATTTATGAATTAATTTGTGTGTTAAAAATTAAACACTTTATAAACTTCCTTCATAAATACCTACTCAAAGCTCTCTTTAAATGATCTCCACAATATTCACTGAGAATGTGACTGTTTATTCCAAAGGGAAAAGGGGAGTTCAAATGTCTTCTCTATTTTCGTTTGCTGTAGATCATAAAGTATGTGGGAGCAGACCCTTGTGAATTTGGGGGCATTGCACAATGCCAGGTACATCAGTGATAAACAATAACCTCTCTCTTTAATATTTTAGCTGAGCTGGGAGACTACAACCATTCAGAAAACTTGCCAGGCTACCTCTCAGACTATTCTTTCATCCCTAGCCAGCCTCAAGACTTTGAAAAAGAAATAGCAAAATTACATCAGCAGCACATGTAAGGATTTACAGCAGAAGATATTGACTGACTTTGTCAAATCCTGACTGCTGGTGCTATGCTATTGTATAAAAAATGAGTATTTTGTCTTAAAGGTTTCTGGGGTTTTTTGTTGGTTATTTTTTAAGAGTATGTTTAATGTGGTTTTTTTTGTAGATTGTCTGTTTAATAAGTACCACTGATACTCTGCACAGATAGAATATCTATGACAGAATGACAGGGAAAGTAAGTGAAAATGAACATGTTAAAGGTACACTGAAAGCAGTATTTGTGTGTCTATTACATAGGATATTAACTTAGCAGGATATAATTTCTTTAAGAGTTTTTTCAGTCTTTGAGAATGCTCTGTGCATAAAGGCTTTGTTTTCATGGTGCTCTCACCAGTAAACAAGAGTTACTTTAGAAGTAACAAAGTCCTTTCTTCAATATCTACTCTTTCCTGTGTACAAGTCTGTGACCTTTTACTAAAGAGGAAAAGGAGATGAAGCAATGGAAAATATTTTTTTTTCCAGTGTGTAACATTGTGGTGCTTTTTCAGTGATGGTTCCTTGGTATTTTAGAACTTGAGTGGTTTTTGTTAGAGTTAAATTTAACAAAATGTAAGCTATATTTACAAAAACATTTGCTTAATTGGGGCATATTGTTGGCTTTAAAAACTACTGTATGTTATGTTACATTTCAGTCAATGGCTTAGCAAATTCTGTTAGGTAGGGTAAAGAAATTAAAGTGAGTTGATGGTAATTTAAACTTTAAGGGTGAGCCCTGGAGAGAAATTGCTGTTAACAATACAAAACACAGGACTGCAAAAGTAATTTCCAGATTCTAGAGCTCCACAGACATTTAAATGATACAGTGCATTAGAAGTAAAACGTGTGCATTTGCAAGCTGTGTTGTGGACTCTTGTCAAGACTTTGTCTATGTGGAAGCACAAGTTTTTTTCTGTTAAAATTTTTGGGATACAGTGTGTTTATGGTGAGAAAGGAAATTCAGCTTTCAGGGTGGGGGTAGAAGTAGTAAAACGAATGCAGATTTTCTGTTTTAGCTCACTAGGGAGCCTGATGTCCGGGGGTTATGTTAGAATGTTTCTGATTTAGCTTCTTTCTTTCAGAGGGTTGTCTCCTGCAGAAGCAGAGTTCAATTATCTCAATACAGCACGTACTTTAGAACTTTATGGAGTTGAATTGCACTATGCAAGGGTAAGTTTGGATGAAGTAGTATTGTAAGGTAAAAATGGATTCCTCTGAGATTTATGGAAAAATAAATACTTATTTTTAGTGAGCCTTCCTGGCTGCTGCTTACAAGAGAAAAAAAAAAAGAAAATATTATCTTATTAGGTGCCTAACTGTGATTTACCAATTTCAATAGCCGCTATTTCACTCTAGCGAGGGTATTTCTTTGCTTAAATTTGGGCTTAGTTACATGTGTGTTAACCAGGTTGAGCCTTGTTGGCCTGAATGCCAGTTCCGTTGGCTACTGGTGGATAAGAAAAATGTACTTGTTGAATGTACTTTTGATATTTGAGGATCTGTCAGCTTTGAAAAATATTTAATTTGGTTCCAGTTAGAATCAAATTATAAATCATTATATAATATGATCTGTTAATGAAGGTGAGCGTAGTATAATTTGATACAGTGTCAATTTTATCTGGTAAAGCAAGTAGTTCGAGGTTTTGACTCAAACGATCTTAACCTGTCAGTACAGTACTACCATTTCTTCAAAGCCTCTGAATAATAATTTTTAGTAACTAAGACACCTCTGTTTTTTAAATATTCTTGTCCTACTCCCTAAGGTTAGAGAAACTTGCAGTAGCATTTGAAATATACCCTACGTCACTATTCAATGTATCCTGCTGTGTTGCACACATATTGAGAGATGATAGCAGCTGTTTGATTAGAGTGCAAAGATATTTCAGGAAAAATGTCCTATTTGAATATGCTTACAACATTGTTTGTTTTAGAATCTCTCCTCTCTGTATTCTGAGACTGTAATTTCCTTTTAGGTAGAAATTTAAGTTGCTGGTTGCTTTTAGTGTAGCAAACATCAAGCCAGTCTGTTAGTGATGTTATTCATAATAAACTGCTAGAATACTCTATATTGTGTATTTCTTCAAAGTTGGTGAAAGACAGAAGATCTAACTTAAGAAATTAAAATTCTGTGGTAGCTTATAAAGAACTGGGAGCAAACATTCGGGCTTGTCCTAAATAAGAATGAATAATTTAATTCTTACTTGTCTTATTAAAACATGTTTCCTTCCATGTTAATTGAGATCTGTTTTATTATGGTATTTGTCTATTTAGAGAGAGAGATAGAGATGAGAATGAATATATATGAGGTTTCAAAGATATTTATATTGTTCTTCAAGTAATTTTCTCTTTTCTTTTAAAGGATCAGAGTAACAACGAAATAATGATTGGAGTGATGTCAGGTGGAATACTAATTTTTAAGAACAGAGTACGAATTAACACCTTTCAGTGGTAAGGACAGCTGTTTAAGCTAATGTTTTTGTTTGGTATTTCAAAATACATTTTTACCACTATCAGTGTCACGCTTTAAAAAAGACTGAAACTTAGTTGTAGCATATCAAGTTGAAATGATTTACCTCATGCCATGCTATGGGTAATTTTAAGATGGGTTTGTGTCCTGTTCTGCATGCTGTGCTCTTAAATGATTGTGGTGCAAACTAGAATGAATTTTAATAACTTTTTTCTTCAGGAGTTTGTAAGCATACTTTATGTTTAATTAACTATATAGCCAGGGCCAGTGTTACGATCTGGCTCACAGTCTTTAAAGAGACAACTGGACTTAAAAATATTAACCTGGAGAGTGATTGCTCTTATCTGTTTTGTCACATATAACTTAATTGTGCTGTGTGTGTTAAATTTAATGTAGGTGTGGCATTTCAGGATAATTGAGGTGGAGCACTGAGGATATTGTCATCTCTTCATCCATAGATAACCATTTTCATGATAAGGATCAAAAAAGTGCATTTATTGCAGAAAAAAGCTGTCATTTATTTCTCCTCTTAACTAAAACAGTTTTTAAAGCTGTTCTGTAAACGTGGAGTTATCCTCATTAAATATGTTACTCTAGTTATCAGTCATCTTAAGCTGGGATCCTGTTTTTATTTATTCATGTAAGAAGAAGAAAGATCTAAGAGAAGTCCTGTTCTGCACTATAACTTCTATAGTGCTCTATAGAAATGTACTGTAACTTCTGTAGTGCTCTACAGAAGTTAGGTCACCTTCCCCAATGCTTTTTTTGGTTCCCTCAGAAGTAACTTTCCCTTGGTTTCCTTTCCCTGCTTGGAATCCACTTTGACAGCCTTACTTATTACATATGTCGTTGAGTATGCTATGACAACATTCTGAGTGCGCGAAGTCAGCCATATAAAATTATCATAATAGGCATTAGTTTACTAGGCACAAAAGCTGTTCGCTCTAGAAAAATGATGAAAAGTTTTGCATTTTCATTTGCTGCTGATGTGTGTGCTTGGGCAATGCAGCACAGGACTTTTCTAAAGTTCTTGGCTGGTCTCTCATCTTCATATAAACAGATTAAATTGATTACCACAATTGAAACGGGAAAAACTTTTCTCTGACTTCAAACTGATACCAGCAGTTGAAATCTTTGGTTTTTTGTTGTTTTCTGTTAGCACAGGGTAAGATTCATTACCTATAATCAGTGACCTGTTTTCACTTAGTAAGTTCTGTTGCAGAGATTCAAGATGTTAATCACAGTCTTGATCTTTCCTGCAACCCAATGAATTTCTGAGACATCCTGGTTTTCTGTGCTAAGCTTAGTCTCAAGTTTTGTTGTAGGATGTTACGTATTCTGTGGTTTCCAGAATGTTGAGAATGTTGGATGTTCTCAATACATGTTGAGAAGCAGTGTGGATGGTCAAATTTTAGTAGATTTTCAGAGAGAGAAAAAAAGACAAAGCTATGACATAAGCGTTATCCACAGCCAGATACAATTGAGCATGGTAAACATTTTGCCTGCAAGCATTCAAAGAAAAGTAAGCCTGAGGCAATTACGGAGCAGGTAAATTTTCAGTCTCCATGGTTAGTTGGGTAAATTAAAACTGGATCTTGCAATGATAAGTCTGGAACTATCGTGCTAGTCAGTCAGACCTGCCTTTATAATAGTGACACGTTCTAAGAAAGATATCCTTTATCTGGTAAGAGTTTTGAAGTGTTAGAGCCGTTTCTGGGTTAAGGCTGCTTTATAAACATGATGCTGTAATAATCAGGAAGGTTTTAATTCAGGCTGCTTTTACTGCTGTTTTTTTTTGGGAAAACAGTAATAGTGGAAATAGGTTTTATAAAACACGCTGGTAAATTACTGAGTACGTACAATGTAAGTCATAATTAAGCTACATGTCCCTACTGGAAGCTAGAGGTTTCTGTGAGCTCTGCTTCATATTGTTTGCATGCCAGGGATGGTGATCTAAATTCTTAGTGTGGTTTTTGTGTGTGTGTAATTACCTAAACAGTTCTTCTTTGTATTCAACCATATCAGCTGACATCAGGGATATTAATTTCTTCCTGTGAAGACTATAGTACCAACATAATTGGTCTTTACAAAAACCAGAACCATCCCCCCCATACACCACCCCTCACCCCCCCCATTTTGTCCTATTATAGGTTTTATTTTGCTATGAGTAAGGATCTGAAATGTCAGTTCTCACAATATAGCTCAATCAATACCTATTACCTTTCCTTTTTATCCATAGTCATGCAGCTGCTCCAGTGACACCAGTCCTGATACGTATTCTTTTTGCTTCTACTTATTCTTGCTCCTGTGCAACTGGAGCTGTGTAATGTCTTCCCAGTGCCTTATGGCTACAGTGAGTATTTAGATATCCCTTTTTCAGTACTCCTGAGCTGAGTTTTGAGACAAGTGAGAGGATAGATATGCATGTATGTGGGAAGAAATAAAGGTTTAACTGTATTGCTCAGAGAAGAATCAAATAAAATGTGTTTGCCCTCTCCCTCTTAATTTGATATCTAAATTGCATGTTGTGATCCTTATGATCATGGGGTGAAATTAAACAGGAGGGAGACAAGGCAGGAATAGGGCAAAACAAAGGAGACTGCCTTTTATCCGATGTGTCCTAACTTGATCTTCCTGTACTGTGGGTAATTCCTCTTTTCCCCAAACTGTGCTATCAGGCACAGAGACCTGGGAATCCAGGGAGCAGATCTTGCCCTTGAAGACCAAAGGAGAAGAGCATGGTGTACCTCAGCCTTTGCTTTGTTACTAGATCACCTGTTCAGCAGTGGAGACACGCTTTCCTTTGCCTCTGTTTTGCGGTCGGTATACCCTTAGAAAGCTTTGTTGCCTTTCACACTGATTGCCAATTGGAACTGCAGTTGCACTTTGGCTTTCGTAGTTTTATCCCTGAATGCCTAGGTAATACTTCTGTGTTCCTCTTTGGTCATCTGATCCTGCTTCCACATTCTGTATGCTTACTTTTGTGTTTGAGCTCAGTCGGCAGTTCCGAGTTCATCCAAGTTGGCCTCCTCCCATGCTTGCATGTTTTCTAGCACATCAGGAGTGTTCTGAATTGAGAAGATTGTCCTTTAAGATAGGCCACCTCTTCTCAGTTCCTGTGCCCCAGAAGGCAGCTTCCAAGGGATTTTGCCTACCAGAGCTCTGAGCAAGCTGAAGTTTCTTCTCCTGAAATACAGGGTTGTTTAGTCTGCTGCATCCCTTCTCACTTCCCTCAGGGTCTTTAGCTTCACCATCTCACAGCTGCTGGAGCCAGGTTTGCCTTTGACTACTAAATCTTCCTTGTTTGAGAGTTGTGCTACGAAGAGCATCTTCCCTAACTGACAGGTTCAGAACCTGTGTCAAAGAAGTCTTGGCTAAGAAATTTGCTGGATTGCTTGTGTCCTGCCTTATCGCCCTCCCGGCAAGCGTTGGGGTGGTAAAGTCCTTAGTGAGAACCAGGGCTTGATATCATGAGACTCCTTCCACATGTTTGAATACAGTCCTCACTTTAGACTAGGACTTTTAAATATCTCTTCATTTAAAGAGATATGATTTAGGATGCCTGAGATGACTGGAGACTGGAAAATCACACTAGGAAAATATTATTGATGCCTGCCTGTTCTTACCCTTTTCCTTGGATATGCACCATTTCCAACAGTCAGAGAAAGGAAACATAGACAGACATGCCTTTTGCTTTGGCCGAGTATGGATATTTTTATTTAATGACTAGCAAGGTATTAGCAGTGCATGTGAACTCTCTCTTATCTGCTCTATTTTTCTGAAAATAGCTGAGATTCAGCTTTGCCGAGTCATTTCTTTGTACTTGAACGGTGACTCTCATGAGTTGAATTAGACCTTATTTGCTAATGTTATAGTTTTGAGTCTGTTCCAAATGGTTTCAGGCTTAAAAGGCAGCTGACCTCACTCTGCTTAAATTATGGGGTATGATTAAAAAACAGCGTGTATAGCTTTCATCCTTATAATTCTCCTTGAGTCTGTAAATCACCAAAGGCAGTAATTTCTGTAGCAGAAGAGGGGGGGGAAAAAAGAGTGAAAGGTAGTAGAATGTTTTTATAAATGGAATAATTTTGATTTATTTTCAGGTTTTCTGTTGACATGCAAAGCAAATCTGATATGTTGTAGAGTGTGTGCCGTTCAGTTTTTAGAGCAGGTATACATTAAAATGTTCTTTTAGTTGCTCTGTACCCCAAAATTTTAGAAAATTAATCACAACATACTTCTAGTTAACTGCAGCCTAAATAGCCTAATAAAACTTTTTTCTGTTTTTTCCACAGTCAGACTGCTGTAATCACTAGTCTCTATGCCATCCAGCAAATTTAGGACCCATCCCTAATTATTCTCAAGCAATTGTTTGTCACAGGAGGTGCTAAGAAAATTGCTGCATTGCCAGTGGAATAATTTGATTTCAGTAGATAAGTTGTAGTCCCCTTTATAGTTTCTAATCCTTGAAAAACTAACTTCAATAGCAACAATTTGTTAAGAATTGGGGGGAAAAAAAGGGACAAAGTTATAGCTGCTGCCTTTTTTTTTTTTTTTTAAAACTAAAGGCAAAGTTAGGAGGGAAAAAAGAAATGGGAAAAGATTTAAATAAGCATAATTTAAAGGCTAATATTCACAGACTCCCTTTATGTTACTGGAGGTAGAAACTCTCTCAACAATTAGGACATCCAAGTTAGGTTCCTGCTCTGAATAATCCCCTGGAGAAAAATGTCTCCATTTGATTAAGTTAAGAAGATAATTTCTATATATAGATATCCAACTTAGGTGTCTGTTAATGTTTTGCTTCTCATCCTTCCTAGTCTAGAGGGTTTTTTTATTCAACAAGGTGATTAATATGCAAGCAGTAATTCCAGTCACTGTTGAGGTCCCTGTATATTCTTCATGAATAAGTTTATCTCAAGAATTGTAGCACTATCTTCACTGACACTTTTTGTTGTTGTTGGCTTTGGTTTGGGTTGGTTTGTTGTTTTTTTTCTTCTTTCTTTTGTAGCTTTACCAAGCCAATATACTAACTTGAAGTCCAGGGACCGTCACAGATGACTGTTCAGATTAGTAAGGGTGCTCTGTATAAACATGCTGTGTAAAAAGGTTGATCGTAACCCCTGAAGAGTTTGCTGTGTAATTTCCCGCAGTTAACTGTGATCTAGATTCTCTTTTGCTTTGAGTTTCATGACAATTGTCAGTGAAATCTTTGAGTGAGATAGCATTTGAATTTAGTGTTCTACAGTTTGCAGTAGCATATCAGTTGTTCCTTTTCAAAGTCACAGAAGTTACTATGGTTTTTCTTGTTACAATTGTAACCTTGCTTTTTTTCTTGACCAAAATAATACTCCTGTATATTTAATAAAGGCTGTGCACTATCCTAATATTGCATTTCTTTGAAAAAGTATATAATTAGATTGTGATGGAAAATAGGGCCTGTTTTTTCCCATTTAGCGTAACTAGCATTGCAGTGACCATCCAAAATTGTCTGGAATTACTGTCAGCATCTCGTATGTTTATAGTTAACCTGCAAGACAAAAAGATCTGTAGGCTGATTGTTTCCCTGTCATGTGATATTTTAAATGTTTTTTGTCTCCTCATAGTGTGATGATTTTTTGGTTTTTAAACTTAATAAATACCAAGATCGCAAGTCGTTATCTCCATGCTTATATCTTGTCTTAGCTATTTTACTAAAACAAGTTCTGGTTATACTTAGACATGTGAGAACATAGAGAAAGAATGTCTTTCAGGAATCAGGTGAAGTTCAAAGTATTTTTTTTCGTATTCTAGGGGATAATGAAAGCGGTCTCAGAAAAGAGAACATCTGGTTGGAATGAACTGGGGACAGAATAGCTCTTTGGACTTTGGAACTAGGAAAATATACTTAAATTAGCAACTGCCTTGGGTTTAGGATGGAAACAAGTGAATTTGATAGATAACTTAAATATATGGCTCATAAATTTCAAATTATTCAAGCTATTTGATGTAATCTTTGATATCTTATTTTCTGTCTATGGGGATTTCATGGAAATGAAATCTGTTCTCTCTAGAAAGTATATTTTCAGTAGGGTATTTAAGCCTTTAACCATGATTCAGTATACTAAGTTTTTAAATATTGTGATTTTATTTTTCATTTAGGTTGAAGATTGTAAAAATTTCTTTTAAGTGCAAACAGTTTTTTATTCAACTTAGGAAAGAATTGGTGAGTACTGTCTTAAATTTCATCTCAAAAAATGAGAACAATGAAATTTCTCCATACTGCACATCTGCATTATACTGACTGATATCATGTTGATTCTTGCCTTTATCTGCAATTAAAAGTCCAGTTTCACCAACATTCTGGCTATTTCAGTTCTCAAATGGGCCATTACAATGCTTTATAAGACTTTTTTTCATTTGATTTGCATTATATTTTAGATATGTTTAGTTTTACACTTGTATGCAGGAAATGTAACTTGCTTAAATACGATGAATGTTGAAAAGGTTGAAAGTAAATCAATATTAAATTTAAATTTCAGAAAAAACCAAATTAAAATTAAAGGTAATGCTTAATGCTGCTTCAGTTGTATATGTGCTTGTAAGTAAATGTTTGATTAAAACATGCTGATTTGTATTATTCAGATTTAGTAATACAAGTTGGCTTTATTACTTATATTTAAATAGAAGAGATAAGAATGTCTTTGCAGTTTTAAATTACATATGGTAATTTTTTATGCCTACTGCTAAATTTGTTGGGGAAAAAGTTGAAGCTTTTTGTGAAGAATGTGTGCGTTTCACTGCTTGTGGTGTGTGTTTGCTACCCTGTGAAGGACCACAGGACCACTGTGCATTTAATTCAGCAAGAAATGGATTGTACACTCCTCCAAGAGATTAGAGTCTA